ACTACTGATACACTTACCCTATATTCTTGATGAGCGTAAAATTCTAAGCCTATTTTGCGATGTCCGTCTGTGGTAATCACGCTATCTTTCGAACGAATTGAGATAGAAGGCTAAAATTTTGTGTATTTTGTCAATAGGCAGGTATCGAAAATGGGTCATGTCGGTCCACTTTTTTGTATAGCCTCCACATAAATATTTGGTATTTTGATGGTTATTTTTAGCGACATTATAGAGCGGAATCAAATTTCAAATATGGAATGACAAAAATCTATTTATACAGGTCCACTTTTGAAGCTCTTAATGGGTACTATATCCTATGACTGTGCAGGTCCTCGTCTTCGTATAGCCACCATATAACGGTTTTCTTTTAAGCGGTATTATTCGACGAAATTTTCTTTATATTTTGCAATCCACAATGCTATGGAGGGTATATTTAATTTGTCATATACAATGTATATATACTGGATCATCGTAAAATTCTTGATTCAGCGATGTCCCTCTGTATATCGGTCTGTTATAATCTTACTTGCTTACTTTTCGAAGTGCCTTTTCAAATGGTGGAGGATTAAATGATGGAGGATCAATAGGTAGTGCTATATGGGGACCATTATATATAGATTTAGATTTCTGCAAACCTGAAGCGCTAAAATAAAAATTTGATTGGAAAAAATTTTTATAGCTTCGAGTTACTTTAAGTCTGAATGCGAAGTACCAAAAACAAAACTAATATTATTGCCGGGAAAGAATACTAGAAATTGCGGCATAAAATGGAAAACGACGAGTGACACTTGGCAGGATTATATAGGGGGTATATCTACTTCAATATCAATCATTCTAGGAATAAAATATACGTCTGTGCAAAATGTTACGTTATATTTTGCGCCTCTGCTGGACAGACAGACTGTTTTGATGGAAAAAGTGTACAAATCCAAACTAGTGCACAGTACGGAGGTAGCTGCGTCTTCGCTTCCAAATGAACTAACACAGACATATGTGACTTAAAACACGGACCTAATATTGTTTTATGACAAATCTCCAACAAATACGAATCCAAATTGCTAAATTAAAGTCCATTCAGTTGGAACTAGAAGCAGAGACGTACAAACTGTCAATAGACAACTTTAAATGGAGGACAAAACAAATGCTGGGGTTATAATAAAATTTGATTAGAACTTTTAAAATGCCCAATTCACAATATTCTTAAACAAAAACAACAAAAATACAAAAAACTGGTAATTAGTAAACTGTCTGAACTTGAAAAGCAACATTTTGTAGCAAAGTATATATTTTTAAACAGAGAAGTCTATTTATATATATGTAATTCATGAAAGAGCCACCAATCCTCATCAGTTCCCTTGTTTTTTGTCTAGGTTATTCTCCTAAGGAGTTATTTCAAAAATAAATCCTATGACAAAAAACTTTTTTTACCCAAATGACGAGAAGAGAAACCAACGAATTACATAAAACTAAAATTCTTTTGAAAAATCTTCTAAATCTTAAAATTTTAAAAATAACACCTATGACAAAAAACTTTTTTACCCAAATGGCGAGATCGTAAGCTCAATAGAAGAGAAACCAACGAACTACATAAAACTAAAATTCTTTTGGAAAGTCTTTTAAATCTTACAACCGCACATATAAACATTTTCATCTTTCTCCACTTGTTATGCTTTCGTTTTACATGAACGAAGTAGCATAACCATGTAATTTGTCTGTTACAACGAAAACCCCTTCGTCGACCGTGCAGTTTCTATTAACGGAACAGTGTTGGCATGTTTGTTCGGGATACCATAGTATTTTGTTGTTGCAAAATGGTCAGGCTTAATCTCATTATAATTGTTCCCTTGTTATACCCTCCACCATTCTATGGAGGGTATATTAACTTCGTCATTCCGTTTGTAACTCCTCGAAATATTTATAATAGACCCCACAAAGCATATATATTCTGGTTCGTACAATTCTAGGACGATCTAGCGATGACCGTCCTTCTGTTTGTTGTAATCACGCTATCTCTCGAACGAATTGAGATAAAAGGCTAAAAGTTTACATATATGCATAGTTTACTAGTAGGCAGGTTAAGTTCGTAAATGGGCCATGTCCGTCCACGTTTCGAATAGCCCCCATATAACGGTACCTCCCGATATTCGGTATTTTCATGATTTAAGAGACATGATTTACCGGAATTATTTGGATGGTTGCAACAATATTATTCACCGGAATCGTTTCAAATCTCGTATTGGAAGATCTTAATGGATACTACAGCCTATGATAAAAAAAATGAATATATGTTCACGTTTTCGCATATCCTCTATATAATGGTACATCCCGATATACGACATTTGGATGATTTTAGCGACATTATTCACCGGAATTGTGTTAAAATTTGGTATTTAAAGTTCGTAGTGGGTACTACAGCCTATGACAAAAAATTTCGTAAGCAGGTCCACGTCTTCGTATATGGAGACTATAAAAATAATAATAATAACAATTTTCATTCAAGTGGTAGCTCACGGAAGTTTTTTTTTTTAAGTTTCAAGTTCCTTCCATATGGACGATGGCATTAAAAGTTCAGCTCGGCCGATATTAGCTGTTTTTTAATTGTTTTTGTCTGCGATATTCTCCCTAGGAGTTATTTTAAAAATAACTCCTATGACATTTTTTTACCCAAGTGACGAGATCGTAAACTCAATAGAAGAGGAACCAAAGAATTACATAAAACTAAAATTCTTTTGAAAAAACTTCTAAATATCACAACCGCACTTATAAACATTTTCATTTTTCTCCACTTGTTATGCTTTCGTTTTACATGAACGACGTAGCATAACCATGTAAGTTGGTTTTGTCTGTTACAATAAAAACCCCTTCGTCGACCGTGTCCTGTCTATTAACCCTTAATAGCCTGAATTTTTTCTTTTCAATGAAAAAATTTTATATATTGTATTTTAGGACCCTTAACAACGTTTGTTCTACGACTTTTCACAATTTTGAGTTTTGGACATTTTAGGGTAAGATTTGTGTGTTGGTTCTTTGAAGAACCACCAGACACTCCTTTGACAAGTAAAATGCATATGGTTTATATATGAAATTTTTTTATTTTCATTCAAATTATATATATTTCAGTTCATTTATTCAATGTTTTGTATGATATTCTAGAAAGCAATTTTTTGTTGATTGGAAATATAATTCTACCTCAAATTTAATGCAATACACTGTTGTTCTAGATGTGCAATTGGGCATTTTACAACGAGGTTTGCCTGTTGTTAGGTATTTCGGGAAGTGCCCAACATTATCAAACCGCACGTCACTAGGCGGCATTACTACCCGAACTCGTTTTGGCACATTTTATGGGGTCTCACATCCTCCAGTGTTTCTTGGACGTCCTTTCCTTATGGATTGTGTGCCAGATTTTACTAAAACTTTGCTGACGTCTACGATAAATTCGTGCAAAGTCAGCATTTTATCTGTACGAGGAGATGAAGAGAATTGGCGTTTATATAAAATCTATCATATGGTATATAAGACGATTTGTCCATTTGCGTGACTTTATTCTTATGCGGCTTCTACCAAAGCACGAATCCATAAGATCAACACCTCCCATGTACTTGTTGTACTCGTGGATTATCGCAGGGTAATTATCGATTGGGTAATTTTTCTGGCAATTTGCAGCCAGGAATTCGATTACGTCGAACTGTTCCAAGCCCATAGATTCCCTGGGTCCGTAAATAAGACAATAAAGGAATAGTTGTGTAATAGTTATCGAAGAGAATTCTGTAGGTCTTGAAAAGCGGAACTTTACGAGCAAGCCGCACCACAACAAGAGAACAGATGAGTATTGGCGGCTCTTCCCGAGACCTAGGTATTCCCTGCCTTACCTCCTGGTAAACATTACCATCGTTCTCCACTAATAAAAACATTAAGTTCGGCCGTGCCGAACTCTCAATAACCTCCACCATTGGGTAAAGAAAACATTTTTATATAAAAGTACCTGAATTCAATCGTGTTTCACTTTATTAAAGTTTTTTTTTTTATTAAAGTTTTTAAAAAACCATAAAGCGAGTGAGGCCGTTATATCAATACCGGAACTCTATAGAAAATTTTATATTTCAAGGATTGTCATCTATCAAATATTCTTCGTGGCTAAATGTGACTGTGACCGCCGAATATCGGTGGTTATCGTTATATGTGGGCTATAGGAAAACGGGAATCTAAATATTCAATGTTCTGCCATCGGAGCTAGAACCTATTACGAACTACAAGTACCATTTTTTGAGAAAATCTGTGGGAAAATGTGGCATAAATCATCAAAATACTGATAATCCAGAGGAACCGTTATATGAGGGCTATACAACAACGTGGTCCTACATATACAATGTTTAGCCACACAAGCTAGAACCCATTATGATCTTCAAACAACAATTATTAGACAAATGCGAAAATCACCAACATACCGAATATTGGGATGTATTTTTATATGGCGGCTATACGAAAACGTGGACCAATATATCTCATTTTCAATACCAATACCATCCTACATACAATACAATTGTTCTGCCAAATGTTGAAGCTCTACGTCAAATAATGAGGGCTGTATCGTGATATCAACAGTCGGGCAGACAGGCGGACATCGTTAAATCGAATTTAAATTTTAAGCTGATCATGTTTATATATACTCTATGCATTGTATATGCAATCATTCCTCATACAAGTTGTTGTAATGGTTGAAATAAAAACAACAATCACTCACAAGTTATGGAAGACATTATAAATCCTAAGCCATGCAAACCGGCAATTTGTTCGATTGATTACAGCTTCAAGAAATATTATTAGATGTAAGCTACATAGTTCACTTTAGTTTGTAAACTTTTATTTGATAAAATAATCAACATAGTCAAAATAGCAAAATGTGATTATTATCCAATGATAAAGCTTTTAAGTTGGTGATTTGTTCTTGATTGTGGCAATGGGCAATCGCAAACTCGTGCATTTAGGTTGGTCATGTATCTATCTTTATATTCGGTGGTGTTGCAATTTACGTGGTTGTGTTTACTTAATTCAGCAAATATTTGGCGTAATATAGTTGCCAATCGAAAACAAGTTAGCAATATGCATTTTAATTTTTGAACAATTTATGGAAAAAATGGACATTAGTGGTTCTTGAAATCAGAAGTTTTGGTTTTATTCCAATGGCCACTTCTACCTCATACGGTGGGATTCATTCTTCCCTTTTGCAAAAGCAAATGTCTTTCAAGTCTTCAGTAGGACATCATGGCCAATTTACAAAAGTTGATGATTTGGAAGCAGTTGAAACTGGAAATAATGACGCAACTTCATCGCTCGAATACAAAAATGTAAATCTTGGGAAATATGTATGTTCATTGATGGTGATATGGTAATTGTAGTTTTTTCATAGCATGCTTGGGGGGAGGTAAAGTGAATGCAACCTCTTTTATAAAACTTAGCAGTGCATTAAACAATACATTAAATGCTGGAAAACAAATATAAACAGAAAAGATACTAATCAAAAATACTACTTTACTTTATAGCTTCCTTTTTAATTTTTATTCTAACTTACTCTCCCATAAATAACTGCATACAATATACTTTATTGATAAATGTGGATATTAGTGTGTTATATTGTATTGTCATACAAAATGGTAGGAAAGGCCTGGAGGAGAATAATTCCCTTAAGCATGAAATTCTTTGATGAGTATTATAAAAATCCAATTAGAAAAGTTTGTCAGTTATGACGTGGAGAATATTTTGATAGTCATCACATAATGTACACGGTAGAATCAAGAAGGTAAAGTCATGCAATAATATGTTTTTATGATTAATTTTCTATGTGCCTGTATTGCTTCGAATGAATGAATGTTGAAATTTATAATTATATTTACAAATTTTGAGGAAAATAAATACTTTTGTTCCGGAATAATCTGTGACGTTACATTCATATTTCTCGATTTTCTCATAAATTTATATATTGTGGAAGGGTGTCAAATCAACAAAACAACTTGTGGCATTTGTTATTAGTATATTTGAATTCATAGGAGTCTTGCTTCAGAATAGTACATTTAAAATTTAGTCAACCTGCCCTAACTTTTATTGATTGTAAAACTTTTTAACTCTCAATACCTCTGAACGAAAAAACCCGCAATTATGTAAGTTGGTCAATTAAATTACGAAATAATAATCATGAAATGTTCCACGATGTTGTTGACAAGGGCGCTCAATAGTAAATTTCTTGTTATGAGTTATCCGTATTCCCATTTTTTCAATTAAATTGTCTCTACAGAATGTTGGGTATTCAGCTTTTTGTATATTGATAATTTGGTATTTAGAAGTCGTAACAGGGGAAAAAATTGTCTATATAGGTCCCGGTCAATTTCTTTGCAACTAATCGAATACCTGATGTTTGATCCTATCAGTTTGCATTTTAACAGTTGACAAGTCAAATTTTTACGAGTCAAGGTTGGTACCCACCCACAATACCCGACTCCGCTGTTTAAAATGGAACTTGATAGAATATTAAATTCCGACTATTTAGAAATTATGGAGGGTATGTTAAGTTTATCACTCCGTTTGTAGCACATCGAAATATTCATTTTAGACCCACCAAAGTGCAAAATCGAAGAAATAGAGTATTTTGTATACCGTAGTTATTTATTAATGTAAACCAGTAAAGAAAGGTCGAAAGTAACAAATAAGCGCTTATAGAGGGAATTTATGTGAAGTAGATCATACCAACTATGATGGTTTTTTGAAGGCATATTATGAGTTTGTACCAGTTATACTTTGAAACCGAAAGGAACTAATATACATAGTAGAGGTAAATCCTACTTTGAATCGATTTCGATATTTCCGTCTGAATCAGATGAAGATATATAAAATTTATATATTATGTTTGGTTGAACTGGCGATCTGCACTTTCATTTACCACTTCAAGAAGAAGATTAAGCGAGTAGATGGTGATGGGATCTCATCGATTGTCAATTGGTCTATGTCGATGTCATCATCGATAGGGTTGGGCATATTCCCAAGCAGTTAATGCATTGGCAATCCTTTCCAGTACATTTAACAACCTATTCATTCTCTCTGTGTCTAGATCTAAAGAAGAATGTTTACCGGTGTCTCTCGATTGATGGATTTTGGCTATCTTTCTGTTGGTTTGACGTTTATTTGTGTGTCGAATATTGTTGTTCTGATGTTGTGAATTTCTTTTTTTTTGACTTTTTGGTAATGCGGCTTTTTGGTTTTCGGTTTTTTATACACTCTACCATACATAGTATGGAGGGTATATAAAGTTCGTCATTCAGTTTGTAACTAATCGAAATAATAATTTTGAACCAAACAAAAAATATATATATATTCTTGATCAGCGCAAAATTCTAAGACGATTTTGCCCTGTCTGTCCGTTCGTCTGTTGTAATCACTCTACAGTCAAAACTAATTAAGATAGGTAGCTAAAATTTTGAATAAATCTGTCTTTTGTCTGCAGACAGGTCAAGTTTAAAGATGGACTATATCGGTATTGTGATGATCTTAGCCACATTTTCAATGGAATTGTCTGAAATTCACACAAGGAGTTCCTTGTGAGTACTTTATCCCCTAAAAGCGAATTGTCTATATAGGTCCACGATATCGTATAGCCCTCATATAACGGTACACCCCGATATTCGGTATTTTGATTATTCTAGCCACAGAAATTCCAATCGTGGAGTTTTTTACTCCTGAAAGAGAATTGTCTCAATATATTCGGTATTATATAAAGTTCAGTGCCGTTACTACAGTCTATAACACTAATTACTTATGCAGGACCACGTCTTCGTAGATATAGCCCGCATATAACGGTCTTCATTTGAGTGTTATTTTTCGAAGAATTTTTTTGTTTCTTCCAAATGGTGGAGGTATAAGAAGTTCGGCCCGGTCGGACTTAGCTGCTTTCTTACTTGTTTTTTATCAAACTTCTTGTTGTTTAGTCTCTTACTGCCGTTGCTTTAAGTTCTGTTACTTTTTTGTTTGGGTGATGTATATATTGATCAATAATGATCAAAAATAGCTTTAATGGATATAAAAAGCGAAAACAAAAAAGATGAAAAGGGTGCCATTAAAGGTATGACATATTAGTCAACGTCATATCATGTGAAACATATACACTCCGTTCTACTAACAACTGACTAGAAGTGCATTTAATTTAAAACTTAGTCATGGTACCCCTTATATATTATCTTTTTGTTAATTTGTAGTTAATTTGGGTGTGGAGTATTATTGTTCTGTTGCTTAGAAGCACAGTATTGTGCCGAGCACCGCATATTCTACAAGTACTCGTCCACATGCAAATTGTGGTATAGTGATTTATTTCCGAGGCAGTTTTTTCTAAATTTTGTGTTCATACGTTCATATTGCTTCTTTGCTTAAAATCTGGATAAATCTAAAAATATCGCATTAAGAAATTCGTATATTATGGTAGTTTACATCAAACTTTCCGTCTGAAAAAAGGTAGGTCGCAAAAGCGTAAAATTCCTCACAATAGTTGTCCGATTCTCTAGCAAATGGAACATTGCTGATTTCCTCTTGTTCCCAGAATTTTTCCATATTGAGCTAATGTCATCGTCTTCTACTAAACAAATTTCATTTGCTTTTATTGGTCCACAGGTGTACCATATAAATTGAATTTTAATCTAACATGTTTCCTTATATGTTTTTCTTAATGTCTTCCAATATTATTTGTCTGTATTTGCATATGTATTAGAAATAGACAAGGGATTCTCTGCGATCACTCAGAACCTCTGCGTTCACTTGTCTGTATTTGCATATGTATTAGAAATAGACAAGGGATTCTCTGCGATCACTTAGAACCTCTGCGTTCACTTGTCTAGTAGAAACGAAAGAATAAACACACGGCCTCTGTCGCCACTATCACATACCAAAAGGCCTCTGTCGCCACCCCAATTACTGAAGGTAATTTATTGTCGAAAAGAAAGAATCACCAATAAAGCATGAATTTAATGTAGAAATAATACTAATTATTCTTGTGTTTTATTCTTTGCTATTTTCTTTCTTTTGCACATCACACACGCGTATCACCCGCACCTTACCAAACCTCTCACCTACATTCTCCTACCTACCTCTCGAAGCCATTCTCCCCACTCCCCTGAGTTAAACATTGGTCGCATCGAGCCGGATTGAAGCCATCACTTGCTCTTGCTCCCTCGTTTGCATGAAGAAATCATCGGATTATCTCTCATCATATCATCAACATACATAAGACTAAAAATCAGATACTTAAATTCAGATCTCTATTTGAAGTGAGCTACCCGTTTTTGTTAGTGCGTATGTTAATTGTTTTTATTTGGAAAAAAAAACATCGTATTGGTCGAGCTTCAATCACCCTTCGCGTGTGTTATTGTAATTCGAATACAGTCCACTCTTGTTGCATTAAATTGCATTTGTAGTACTGATCAACCTACGTTGCGTTGATCATACAATTGCCTTTCGTTTGGAAACAAGTCAGTTGGTCGACTTATATTAACACTTCTTGTGTTAATTAAGTGCATTCCCCTACAACAAGTAGTTCTGTCGTTGTGAAAATAATTAGCTTTCTTTATACTGATCATCCGTTGTCGCGTTGATCATACAAAAATATTTGATGCTCTTGCTCTGCTTCGTTCATTATTTCCATTTCTAACTCTCATTTCAAATGTTGAACCCTTTGTGAGAATATAAAGTATTCCCCTCGCTGTTGCTCTACTCCCTCGCCTTAGTTGAAGAAAAATTTGCATCACCACAGCATACATGCACATTCTTTTATATTTGGTCGTTTGGTTTATTTGTTGTTCAATTTCTCACCAACCAAACATTCGCTGTTGTTATCCCCCTTCACGTTTCAAAGGTTGAGCCCTTTAATGAGAATTGTTTGTTTCTAATTAGCAATAACAACACACTTGTAATAACAGTGCATCCATCTGTCGATTGGTTATTTTGTCGTCGTCACCAACGCGCATTTATTGTTGTTGCAATTCTTCTTCGTTTGTTTCTAACCATCGATCAATTCTCACTTGAGAATTTGCATTGCCAAAAATTGCAACAAAAATACTTCATCATTCCACGCGCCCTTTTTAGCGTCGGTTTGATATTCAGTAAAAATAACAACAAAGTGTTTCGATCTCCAACACTCACTGTTGGATCGTTTGTGGCGTCGCTTGTTGTGTGGGTGCGTAGCTGCTTACGCATAGTCATTTCTCTGCCGACGTCGCTTGTGTTTTATTCCTCTTTGTGCGATATCCGTTGTTGGTTCGGCACAGTGGGATAAAACAGCACAAATTGTGAATATTTTGTATTTAATTTTAGAAATTATTTTTAGATAATT